GAATAGAGAATTCTCTTACAGTTCCTTCTGATAACTGCAACTTTACGCAAAGAGCCACAAACAGGGCGAGGCACTGAGGCTAAATATGCCACTCGCCGCTGAGTTGAGGTGAAATATGACCCCGACAGTGCAATGCTTGATTCTCCTTCTTAGGGGACACAGTAGGATGCCCATAAGGAGCTACTAAGTGTTCTCAAGATCAAGAGGCGAGGCGCAGTCACGGAAGCATTTTTGGGCCTTGGTGGGTCTGCCTCAGAACTTCGTGCCACGAAATTTGTGCAACCAGTACTTTTTCGGACCAGTCTACCCTCTTACGAGGGAGGTAATAGAGCGCTTTTTCGAAATGGTTTCTGCATGTTGTAGGGGCTCATGCGAGGAACACAGAACCATGATCCATTTTTCCTGAACGCCTCCAGGAATGTCAAAACAGTGGTGAAGAAATGGTCCAGAGTTCGATCCCCGGTGATGACTAATTTTTGCAATATAGTTTGGCGCCCCCAGATTGCCGCCAAATGGCGCCATCGTCGAGAATAGATGTCATTGTCGTGTTTTGCGGCAATTTGGAGGCGCCAACATAAATTGCAAAAATTTGTCATCACGGAGGATCGAACTTTGGACCATTTCTTCCCCGCTGTTTTGACATTCCTGGGGCGTTCAGGAAAAATGGACCATGGTTCTGTGTTCCTCACATGAGCCTCTACAACATTCAGAAAACCATTTTGAAAAAACGCTCCATGTCCTGAAAGACCGCCCTTGTTAGGGTAAGGGCTTCATTCCTTCAACGGGTCTTGGAATGTCAGTGACGTTTCTCACTCACTTTCAAGCTCGATTACTTTGATTGCCTAGGTACTACACTCACCGAGTCATAATTTCAGCCTCCACCCTTCGATCCGGACCCGGACATCCGAGCAGACTTTGTGGATGACGCGATTCAAGGTCTGTCGTCTGATCTAGACCTTTAGCAATTTTCAGTGTCTTGTCGAGCATTTGGCCCTCTTCTTTGTAGACCAATTCTCATCCCTTCTCCTCGATATGTGCATTCAACTGCTATGTGTACCATATTTTCTTTCCCAGAAATTTGTTTTTGAAATCACATCTGGAACCAGCATACCTCCTGCTCCTCAGCTCAGTCAGTGGTTTGTTTCGTGAGCTCTTTTCCCGATAAAGGCGTCAATACTACTCAAGTGGTTTGCAACAATGAAATCGTGCTACAGTAACCAGAAATTCTGTCACCTAGCGCACCTTGGTTATGATTAACCCCATGGATTTGGGGGGTACACTAGGTGTTCGATATCGAAGCCCAATAACGATTCCATTCGTGAATGTACTGCTCCAGCGTTTGTCCTAATTTTTATGAGTACAGCGGTATTCCAGCAAGAGGCTTTCTTCCTTTTTTCAAGCTCGATTAACTGAAGAATTTTTTGAACTTATTCCACGGTATTCACTGTATGTGTGTGCATTCGTAGCTCTACGGAAAGGAAAGGAGTCATGAGTGCTTTGGCGAGGCGAAGGAAAGGGGCGAGCTGGCCCGGTTTTCGTGCCGTTGATGGCACTTGTTTCAATTGGTAGCGTCATAAGAGCGGGCAAAGACGGGTCCCATGACGTGATCCTCAAGTTGGTCCTCAGCAGGCTCGGAACTCGGCCAGCTCGTCTCTGGCTTTCGCCGCGCGATAAGGCTCATGCATTTCTCCCCACGGACAGGCCCATAAGCAAAATCCCGGTGGACTTTTGTTGCTTTGCCGATCACATAGGATAAAGCATGGAGTGGGCGCACACGTGTGTTCTAGAGGTGTGGAAGAGTGACCCGACACCGTCGCCTTCGCCATCACCCTCGCCACCGCCACCGTCGACGCGGCTCATCGAGGAGCCCAGTCCGGAACCGGAACAGCCGCCCAGCGAACCGTCGCCGATACCTTCGCCTCCGACGATGCGCACACCGTCGCCAGGTACAGGCTCACTGCATGTTGAATTTTAGCCCCAGTTGGGCGTTTAGTAGCCAGCTTTTGTTGTAGAAACGTTTCAGCGCCATTGTAATTGTCCTGACAGTATTAATACAACTTATGAAATCTGTCCGATTCATTTAGAGCCAACGAAGGAGCCGAGCCCTTCTCCAAGTCCAGTGCCGAGCCCTGAACCTCCGTGTGAGCTGACTCCTCCTTCCACTCCTACACCACCGCCTCGGGAACCATCACCAGAGCCTGAACCAGAACCGGAACCGGAGCCCGAGCCAGAGCCTGAACCAGAGCCCGAGCCTGAGCCTGAGCCGGAACCGGAGCCAGAACCCAAACCTCCTCCGCCACCGGTATGTTTCTAGCTAATCGAAGCCCTTTACAAAAAACAACATTCATGTTTCAGGAGCCACCAAAGAAAACGAAAGGTGAGTGTTCCTTTCTGCGGCATCAGCCGTCTTTTTATTTCGAATCTCTTGACACTTGTTGTTCCTTAGCTACTTCTGACTACCCTTTAGCTCAGCTGGCTCAGAGGGGTTCTTTTACGAAAAAAGTGTGGTTATTTTGTTTGAAAAGGAAAACATAGTGCAAAGGAAACATAATGTGGGGAAGAAAGCAAAAAACACCCGAACCGGGAACTTTGAAATTATGAGGTCCTTTCCCTGTGAGGTGGACAACGCTGCGATGAGGAGGCGGTGGGTGCCATGGCGGAAAAGAGGAGAGAGAGCACAGCTGCAGGAGAGACTCAGACACCTCGCTGTGAAGAATGAAGCTGCCTGTGGTTCTTCCTAGCTGCCTATGTTATGCGTTTTCCGGGATTTGTGGTTTCGATAATATTCATCGCAGATCCATGGTTGAAATTAGAAGCTCAAAATATTACTGCTTGGAGTCACACGTGTTGCGCGCACAACGCAGTTCTGCGGCGATATGGGATGGGGTGGCGCAGTTCTCAAATTTGGCCAGATACACTGCGAATATTTGAATTCTAAGCTAGATCCTATCCCCTCCATCCACCGATGGCTCTTCACCTCTCCTTCTTTGTCAACCCATTGTGCGCTTTTACCGGTTTCCGCACTGCCTCTAGAC